GTCCTACAACAGTAGAGGCTAGGGTGGATGCAGAGAGATAGGAACACTAATATACTGGTGGTGGGACTATAAACTAGTGCAACCTCTATGGAAAATAGTATGGAAAGTACTCAAAGAACTAAAAGTAAAATTATCATTTGATCCTGCAATTCCACTACTGGGTATTTACCCAAAGGAAAAAAGTCATTTTATTAAAAACAACAAAAACAACAAAAAAAACCTGTACTAGAATGTTTACTGCAGCATAATTCACAATCGCAACAATGTGGAATCAACCCAGTGCCCATCAATTCATGAGTAGATTAATAAAATGTGTTATATGTATACTATGGAGTACTATTCAGCCATAAATAATGAATTAATACCTTATGCAACAATCTGGATGGAACTGGAGACCATTCTCCTAAGTGAAATATCTAAAGAATGGAAAAAGAAACACCACATGTACTTGCTACTAAATTGGAACAAACTGATAAGCACTAATGTGCACAGATGGAAGTAGAACTCAATGGAAATCATGCAGGTGGAAGGGGAAAGGAAAAGATGAGTAAAATCATACTTAATGCATACAATGTACGTATATGAGTGACGGGCACACTTTTAACTTTAACTTTTTAACAAGCAACACAAAAGCAGTCCATCTAACCAAAATATTGGTACCCCTGTAATATTCTGAAACAAACAAAAAAAAATCTCAGACTCTATGGGAAACCAAAGCCAATTTTTGAACTGAGCCTGCCCATATGCAGAATTCATGGGAAAGGAGCAGTGAGAATAGAGTCAATAGACCTGGATTCCAATTTCAGCCCTGTCACTTACAGGCATGTCATTTGATCTCGCTTATCCCCAGTTTCCTGAGGAATAAATATGGGATAATAATACCTACCTCTGAGTCGCTGTGAAGATTAAATTGGATGATGCAATGAATGCAAAAGTGCTTAATAGAATGCTTAGAATATACTAATGCTGGATAAGCATGTGTTCGATCTGAATTTAAATGAGTTTTCGGAACACAAGTATGAATATGAAGGTTTCCGAAAACATCTTCACTCACAGCCCCTTGTAAAAACATATCGAAAATTTCACCATTAGCAATATAGACCTCAGATTCTGGAAGGACTACCAGCATTGGGGAATTTCTGTTAAAATAAGGATAATCCAGAACCTCAAACCAATACCACTGAGAACCTCAGCAGGAACTAATTTTTAGGGAAAAACAGTCGAGGTCCTGCAAAAATAAGAGAAGGGTGGTAAAGAAGAGGGAAACACGGAAGCAAGTTGTGCTGAACGGTCCAAACATCTGTCCAGTTCTTGATTTTCTTTGGGCCAAAACATCATGGACATAGAAATCTACTTTTATTTCTAAATTCTAAAACAATCCTGAAAACAGGGTTTGTTTTATTTTCTTGTTTCCATGTTTTACAGTGGCTGATATGATTGACAGGGAAGGAGGGCAAGACCCGTCAACCTCTCTTGCTTCTGAGGACTCCTTTGGGCCCCGTGTTCTGCAGGCAGGCGATCTGCACCAGCCCCCGCACTCATATCTTCACCCAAACATCTGGTCCTTTGCCATTCAGTGCACACTTACTGAACTATCAGAGAAAGCGAGATAAATAAAGCAACATCTTTCCCGTGAAGGGTTCGTGGCCAAGCAGAAGATACAGCCTTGAAGCAAGTATTAATAGTAGTAATTATAATACAATGTGATTATTGTGTTATGGAGGCATGAATGGTTGGGGAAACCAGGTAAGAAAAGTGTGTTTTCCCAGCTTGAGGGGTTGGAAATAGGAGGAGACATGAAAAGCTTCACAAAGAAGAGACATCTGAGTGTTGATATGGGTTAAAGCACCTGTGGATGGGAAGAAAATTCCAAAGAGACAGGAGAGCATTAGCCAAAGAGCTGAGGTGTGTAAGGGCTAAGTGTCTTTGGTAACTGACACTGTGGGCGTCATGCCGCTTATTAAGCTGTTGTATCTCAGCTCCAAATCATCCTTCTACACGCAGCTGCGTGGGCTGAGGCTGGGGATGTGCAGATTGCTTATTTCCTTTGTCAGCTTGCCACCTGTTAGGTCCCATGAGCAGTTGCCACCAGAGAGAGACTGGGAGATGCAGGAAATGTGGGATTTGCCCCTTCCTGTTGGCTTGCTGCTCCTGCCAGCATGGTCCCATCAGAGTCTCTTCACCCTGGCAGCCACAACTGGCCTGGACTCTAGGATCCTTTGACTCCCTGCCCAGTGGTACCCCTTGCACAAGCACGAGCCCCAGCAGGGCAGCTCCCCCCTTCGGAGATCTAAGCCCACTTCCAGAAGGGGCTTTCTCTAAGGGGCTTTCTGAGGTCCAGCAGAAGCTAAGTAGCCCCCTCCTCCTCAGAGGTACGGAAACTGTCCCTGAAAGACCCCTGAGCTCCTGAGTTACAGGCAGCTGTGGACTATCTCCTCCGGGACCTGGGCCTCATCCCCACACACTGCCTCTGTAAGCTCCCAGCTTCTGATGATCCCAATCTCCATCCTTTGATCCTCCTAGCTTTAGGATTGGTAGCTCCTTCCTGTGGTTACAACCTTCATAATAGCTCGATGCTCCCTTTTCGTATTTTCAGTCCTGCAACACCTATCTAATTATCAATTTCCTATTTTACATTTTCTCTGCTCAAATACCTCGAGAGGATTCTGTTCTGCCTGGATGTGGACTAATACGTTGTATCAGAGGTACCAGATGAAGGCTGGAGAAGTAAGAACGGAGTTGGATGGTCATGCAGGAGTTTCTGTCCCATCAAGAATGTTCGACTCCATTTTACAGATCAGGCCTGGGGAACCTTGCAGATTTCTAAGAGAGAGAGTGGCGTGATCAAGGCTGCGTTGGCGTGAGCCACAGGACTGGAGCAAGCAGGGAGATGAGCAGCTGGGAGGACGTTTCAGTGATCTAGGCTCAGGATGTTAAGAAAAGGTGAGAAAGGAGCGTGTTTGAAAGACCATTCAGAAGCGTCATCCTCTTGGCGGGCGGTCCCCGCGACTCCAGTGAGAGAGGCTTAAGACTCTATTTCATCAGGGACTTGCTCCACCCTTTCCCGTGGGGTTCGAGAGGTGTGATGCCAGCCTCTGCGGGTGAGAGAGGTCCTGGAGGGCCCAGTGGGACATCGAGGTAAAGAGAAGGGCACTGCGTTGGAATCCTGCTTCCACCACAGTCTAGATGCAATACTGTGTCACACAGCGAACACGTCGGGTCTCACTTTCCTTGCAGTGCCTACGTTGAAAGAGTTGTAAATGCCATGATTCCCAAACTGACTGGTCATCAGAGTTACCTGGAGAGCCTTCGAAAATGTCAATTCTCGGACCTTGCTCTAGACATTCTGAATTAAAATTTCCCAAACATGGGTCCCCAAAATCTGATTTTTTTTTTTACATTTCCTAGGTGATTCTAGTGAGAAGCTATATTTGGGAACTACTGACTTAGAACTGAATGCAGATAATGCAGTGACCGTGTCTAGCTCGCAATTTGCTGCAGCAGATGCTGTCGGCCGTGGATGTCCCACCCACACGTCCTCTTGGCCCTGGCCACTCTAGAGCAGGCAGACGGCCTCTGAGTGCAAGCACCTGTGACTCTGGCTGAGAGCTTCTCTGGTGCAGGAGCATGCCTGACCCTCAGGTGAGACACCTGGAGGACATGCTCTCCACACAGGGCCTGAGTCCCAGTTGCTCACAGAAGCACCCTGCTCATTTCTGCGCACTGATAGGCCCCCTTCCCCCCGTCCTGTCTCACTCAAACACTCCCGTGCCAGTGCATCTGGACACCCACATCCCAGGTAAACTACTTACACTCAAATCCTTGTCTCAGGGTCAACTTTTGGATGAACCAAACCCAAGATACATGTGTTTAGTCACTGTTAGAGTCTGTCCCCTCTGTACCCTACAATCTCAGGTTTAGAAGTTGGGGAATGACCATGGAAACCTCTCCCACATTGTTAAGATGCTTTAATGATTATGAGATTCCTCTATAGCCACTTTTCGTCTCATCTGATCTTCACAACAACCTTGGCCATTAGAAAGTGCTAGTGTCCTATTTCCATCTAAGGAAATTAAAACCCCAATGGTTAAATGATTTACACAGGGTACACAGAAAAAAAGTAATATCAAGTCTTAAAATTCAGATTTATTTCCATAATAATAATAGTTTTTAGAAGCTGTTGAAACGTATGTATCTTCCCCTGACAAAAAATAAACGCAGACAGTGACTACTCACAAACTTCCCGTGTGCCCACAGAGCCCTGTGGGAGCAGCATGTTCGTGGTTTGTGCAGCCATGTTCGGAAGCCTTGCATTTGTAGCAGGCTGTCTGTTTCTCCTCTCGAGGCTCACATTTCTCCCAGTATTACACTCAAAGCTACACACCCCACCACAGCTTCATTCCGATGTTTTGAGTTAGAACGTCAGTGGATAGGAGCTTATCAACACCTGGTGCAAATGTTGCACATAGAAGAGAGGAAAGAGAAAGGCCCCTGCTCACTGAGAGCCTCCCTCATCAGGCAGAACTGACAATCAACAATCAAACTGTAAGAACAAAAAAAGAATCTATGAATAGATTCATTTTCAAATCTGGTCTGCAATGATAATGGAAACTCAACAAATGGTGGTCTTTCAATACGGAGGGTGTTGAGTCTCATTTCAGAAAGAAATCACACCTCTCCTTTATTCACAAGCAAGGACTTTCTGAGGTGCCCGTCCATATGGTATGTGAAGAGTGAAAATCTCATCTGATTTTGTGACGGTGGCCACCCTAAAGAGGCAGGAGCATAAATTCAGGAACCAGAAAGTCTGATCTCACTTCTGGTTCTAAGATGTACTAGCATGGTGACCTTGGGCAAGTCACCGAAATTCTTTGTGCTTCACACTTTCTTCATCTGTCAGGTGGAGACAATAATAGTACCTACTTTGTGGTGTCATAATGGAAAAGAAACGATGTCACGTCTATCTAGCATTGAGAACAATGCCTGCCTCTCAGCAAGAACTCAGGGGCATTAGTTACTGTCTTAGCCGAGGCTCACCTGAAAACTGGAGATGAGCTCATGTGACCACCCTTAATAAGGGGAAGGAGGTGAAGCCTTAGGAAATGAGATGAGGGGAAAGGAAGAGAAACAGGGAAGGAGGAGAGGGTCCAAGGCCATGTGTTAATAAGATGGCCACAGCTTCACAATATCCTACGAGGCCACAGAGAACTACTGCATCTAAGAACAACCCATTGGGAAGAAACAGACTGAACAATGTATCTCCTGTCTCCTTTGCGTCTGCCATTTCTACTGCTCACAGCTGCCCTCAGAGAGCGCTACTTCTCTGTCCTTCTGAGTCCTGTGACCGGGCCCCTCCAGATCCCACTGGAGAAGCCAGAACCTCTGTGTTGGTCAGTCAGACCCAGGCCCGGGAGCTTCCTTGGCAAAGTGGCTATGGCCTGGGGGAAAAGTGGTCGAGTGAGTCTAGACCATCACATTAACTGGGTCTGCCGTTCTCCCAAAACTGTCATTTTCAAACATGTACATTTACCCTGATTCACCCTTTTCTGCCAACCAAGCTGCTGGGTTGTTGTCTACTTGGTCTTGAACAGAAATTTCTCTTCTATTTTCTGCTCCAATCATACAAACACTAGATTAAAGCTTCCTTTGCTAAATTGAGTTTCAATTCCCTGAAAGGACCACAGTGAATCTATGAGAAGAAATGGATTTGTGGCCAAGAGTCAGATGTGTGGTCAAGATTAATGGGACATTTTCACTTTGAAACTAAAGATAGAAAGTTTTCTGCTCCGGATTTCTATTCATTATGTTTCAGAACTGAGCTGGAGCTAGAGACAAGGTCTACTGGGCAGCCTTCAACTCCAGAATCTCAATACTGACCAATGGATGCTCAGCATAAGGACCTGGAAGCATCAGAGCCAGAAGCATGAAGACTCCTGCTACAGATGATGCCCCAGGAGTTGTCTCTGGAGACATGGAGACAGACTGAGAGGCAGGGCATGGTATGCAAGATGTCCATCAGGGACTAAGAACTGGAGAGGGAGGGGAGGAAGCAGGATGGAGCAGAGGGAGGAGGAACAGTGATACAGACTGGATAAACCTCAGCCAAGCTGCAGGGAACTCCGAGCGAGTAGTGTCTGGCCAACATTGCACCTTGTTCAGCCACCACATATAGGCTACCTGGGAAAGAACATGGCCTCTGGCAAGCCCACTCCTTCAGTTGAGGTCAATGCTAAGGATCTGAGAACAGGGAGATGCCTGCCCCATGTGTGGGTATGAAGTTCTTCACTGAAGGGGACCTGAGTGCCACATCTCCGTGTCTCCCACAATCTACCGCTTGGCCACTTGGACCCATTTCTCCATATGCATTCAGGAAGTAATGTCTCCAGAATTTTGGTGGGTCTGTCTTCCAGAAGGGAAACTTAGGATGGGAAGCTGTTAGGGCCAACCACAGCTTGTTAGTCTTGGGGCCATAACTGATGCTCTTTGTCTACACCCTCTGCTCCCTACTCTAATTGCCCCCACCCTGAGCTAGCACCTCCTTGCTGGCCACAATGGCTTAGCTAATGATGTCACTTTAATCCAAGAGGTCCTCAGCTTCTGGTCACCATGTCATTCTCGGAGCTGGGGTACTGGACTTATCCATGTGCAGTCACAATTAGACAAGGCAGTAACAGGAAATAATACCACGTTTTTGGCTCCCTGGCCCCACTGAGTTTGGCAGTTCTACCTACTCCCGATTACCAGGATCTCTTCCTTACACCAGGCTGGTGACTCCTCTTCTTGTCCATGAACACAACATGCCCAAAATGCCCCGGCCACAGCCACAGCTTGTAATTCAATTGGCATCGGGCTGTGTTCCCTGGTGAAAGTGTACTCTTTAGAGGGCCCAGGACCCCTAAGACTACAGAGCCCAAAGTTGTACAATATTCCCCAGTGGGCCATTGCGGGGGTCCTGGGTGGAATGGGAGGTCAATCCTGCTTCTACTTCTTGGTTCCTGGACTCCTGTGTTTGTGTGCTTGTTTCTTGTTCAGGACACAGTGTCACATGAAAGGGTTTTGATTCAGTGAGTACACTGCATCGATGAGGACAGCACCCCATCCTTGCATAATATTGCCTCCAAACTGATGCATCATGGATCCCTTTAGAAAGCCCCAGTGCTCTGTCAGTTCAATGGAAGCTGAGTAACGTAGTGTAGACTATGTCTAATGGATCCCCTGGTGAAGAGACCACTTCCATAACTCCTTGACTGTAAACTGGGCTCTCTGATCTGACACAAAGAAACTTGGGAGTCAGAGTTAGTGAATAGAACATTTCATGTGATTTCTGATAGTAGTGCTGGCTGAGACCTGAGGTCAGAAAGGCAAACCTACACCTAAAATATGTTTCTACTCCTCTGGAAATGAAATCCAGGCTCTTTCAGGATGGAAACGTCCTAATGTAGCCAACTGGCCATCAAAGATCCAGTTGGACCCTTTGAGAAATTATGCCATTTTGGAGTCTCAGCCATAATCTCTGATGCTAGAAAATTGAACAAGGCAGAAATCAGTCTTGGTGGGTGGGAGTCCATGTAGTTGGACCATGCGTGATCTCCACTGTTGCCACCATAGTCATGCCATTCAGATGTCAATGGCTAATGTCAACTTGCTGGGTTATTTTGTCTTAGTGGTTTTCTAGTGCCTTTCCCTGTAGGATTATTTCTGGCATGATTATCATGTGACATGAAGATTTTCACACATCATGCCTTTCCTATGCCCGTTCACATGCTCTGACCCCAGACCTCCTAGTCCCCAATCTTCCAATCTTTGTCATGCCAGGCCCCTCACGAGTCAGCCAGGATCCCAGGGCCCGGTCTGTGGCATAACAAACCTGCTTCAGCTGGGTGGTTAACCAAGACATTAAAGCTCAGTGACACTGCCTGCCACGTCCTGGGCTTAGTTCTCAGCTCCTCTGCTTGAGTTTCTTTGTCTGCAACCAAAGATGCCCTCTGGCTTTCACACTGGGCTTTCAATTGCCTGTAACGCTCAGCTGTTCATTTCTTCTCTGTAGAGCATCAGTAATCCTTAGCAACAGTCATCCAATGCCTTATCCTTATAATATTTTCTCCATACCTTTCAAATGCCTGACAGTTAGTGCCCACTAGCGTCTTCCCTCCTGTGAGCACACCACCGTGCATTTCAGCCACTGGCCCCACTCTGTGCCTGGGCTTTCTGCAGTCCACCTTCCTCCGGGCAAGGAGCCCTCTGGCCAGGCAAGGACTGATCCAGCTCCCAAACTCATCCCAGACCACATCTTAGGCCCATTGTAGGTTAGCGCCACGAGAGAGGTTGGATTCTCTAAGCCAGACTCCGAGATGGCGTTTGGGGTATAATATATAATATAATATATAGTCAGGGCTGAGCACCTGTGAAAAGAAAGGGGAGAAAAAGGATTGGGAAGAGGGAGAAGCCCAGCATGATGCAGCCCTGAGAAGGCCTCAGCCAGCCAGCAGGGAGCTTGGGGTGGCCACCGCCCGTCAGCCGCGTCTCCCGTCAGGCTGGGGTGGCGGGGCCTCTCCGCCTCCACCTGGCTCAGCCACCAGGTGAGGGCTGCAGGTGAGACAGACCCTGGAGGGCAGAGTGAGAGCTGTGGGCCTCAGCTGGGCAGCCAGTTCTAGAAGCTTGGGCAGCACCTCCCCATGTCTATCATACTCGGGAAGTACTGCACCCACATTCCAGTTTTAGCATCCATGATTTCAGAGCTAAAAGAAACCTTTCATGGCACCTCTGTTCCTTCTCGTCCCTCCCTGCCCCTCCTTGTCACGGATTAGAACTCACAGGAGGGTGAATAGTTAAGGTCTGTCTAGAATCCAGGGCTCAGGATTACCACACTCTGATTAGCAGTGCTTCGCTTGCTCTGGTCTCTCTTCCTCAAATATTCCTCCCATCTTCAGGGCATGAATTTGTTGTATATGACATCTGTATATTTTATGAATATTTTACTTTGTAGGTAGCCTCCCCTGGGCTTCAAGCAAAATGCCATGTGCCCTGCGGGTCTTCATTTAGATAATAATTAACTAAAAGGGGGAGAATTGAGAACCTGCTGTGAGCCCTAGAAATAGCTCTGTTCTCTCTTTCTGGCTCTCTCTGGCTCTCTCTCTCTCTCTCTCTCTCTCTCACACACACACACACACACACTTAACTTACACATGCAAACACCAGTCACCCCAGCTGGCATTTGAGGAGCACCCTCCCCACCCCCCACCACCCCGCAGTGCTAATGCTAGCTTGGTTTCTGTTCATTCATTATTTATGGAGCTACTATTCGGTGCGGCGCTAGACACTGGGAATCCCTACAGGGTTGAGTAGCACAGTGCAGGCCGCATGGTGCCTGCAGTCTTAGAGGCAGGGGTTGGGGGATGGGGACCAGCGGGGACAATAGCAAGGACCTGTGACAAGGGCTCTGGTGGAAACACGCCCTAGGACTGCTGCAACACAAAGGAGATGTTATTCACTGTGGGGATCAGGCAAGGCTTAAGTTGAGGAACAGGAAATGGGGCCCATGCAGGCACAGAGTGGAGTAAAGTCTCTGCAGGGCCATGAGGGCATGGCAGCATGGCCTAGGAGCTGCAGTGACGGGTGGGGTGGGAGCCGCCTCGGAGATGAGGCTCCTCAGGAGAGGTCTACAAGGCGTTCCAGGGGTTTCTAAACAGGCAAGGGACATGAGCACATGGCGTGTTAGGAAGATCAGCTTGGTCATGTGTGGATGGAACATGAGTCTCAAGACTGGGCATAGGAAGGCCAGTGGGGACCCCTGCCATGCTCGAGGGGGGCTGGTTTAAACAGCAGCAGGGGGAACAGAGAAAGCACATCAGGTAGAGAGATGGGAGGAGGTGAAATCCATCAAACTTGAAGGTAGAGATTGGGAGTGGGGGAAGAATGAGATTTGAGGATTCTCAGGCTTCCGCCCTGGAAAAGGTGAGGCACAGAGGGACAACAGGTTTGGGGCTATTGCTTAGGGTCCCGTTTTGCACATGCTGAGTTGGAACTGCCTGTGTAGGGCTAGTGGAGACATGCAATAAGCAATTGTATGTATGGGTTTGAAGCTTGGGCATAATGTCTGTTAGAAATACAGACGTGGGGGGCAGCAGATCTGTTGATTCAACACTTGATATGATAGTTATTTCTTTGTAGATACTGCAGCCATGCCTGTCCTTGTACCTTATGTTGTTAGAGGGAGAAGTAGCAAGGAGTAGGTCAGCACTCTGGGAATTAGGTATAGAAGCTGCCTAGATTTTGAAACTGGAAGAAAACATCCAAATAATGCAGAGGAAAGTAAAACCTATTATTCAGAACAGCTTTCAAATCAAATCCCTCCCTGGAACAAAGAATGGCAAACAGAGGGGTTTTAAATAAATCATAATTAGTAACACACACATGGGCTCAGTGTGGGTGAGCAGTTAGACAGCTAATTACATCGGAGCTGTGTGCGCATGAAGCCAGAGAGTCTCACCCCAATGTGAAGCTTCCAGCTACTGCAGAGATGCCTGGAGGGACCTAGGCGTATATCCATTCCTCCAGTAAAGAGTCGGTTGAGGTAGTGTGTGTGTGTGTGTGTGTGTGTGTGTGTGTGTGTGCACGTGTGTAAGGATACTGTGAATCTACAAACTGAGAATTTTTGAGCACCTGCAGGAGCAGCTGAGCTTCTGGCCTAACTGGAGGAGACATGGATTCTCTTAACCAAGTACCACTCCTTAAAAATGTTGCCCTCCAGCTAAAGACTCCACAGGCTACCCGGGACCCTCGGGGCTGGATTTGTGCATAGCGCAGGCTCCACCTAGCGCTCGATGCTGGAAGCACAAGCAGCGTCTCTTCCCCTGGCAATCTTGGGGACTGCATCTCAGTGGTTCAAAGCTGGAAAGCCCCAGCATGGGAAAGTCCGTGCGCATTTAGAGGACTCATTCCTGGTTAACTGTGCGCTGGGCTACTAGTAGAAAAAGAGTGAATATTCATTAACAGTGGAATTGTAGAAATAGACTAGGCATAGGGAACAGTTGTGTTTTTTCTTTCCTTGTTTCTCTTTTGCAATTTATTTTGCACAGTCGTTTTTGTCTTCAACAGCCTTGGGCTCTGTAGAGGACTAACAATTTTGATGATGGTTTTTCTCTCCTTTTTATTCCTTTTCTTTCACCAACAGGAGGAGCAAAAACTTCTTCAGAAACAAAGAGTTCTGGATTCCATCGGGCTCTATGACACATGCAAGTATCAGACTGGAAATACAGTGATCCAGAAAGCCCGGAAGGGGCAAGAGGAAGCGAGTGAGGCCCAGGGTCTCCCCAGAAGCCTCCCTTGCCCTGCACCCCACTGTTGTACCTTCTTTGTTTTCTCCCTGTGCAGTTCACACGCGCGCACACACACATGCTGCTCCTGACCAAGGACGCACTGGGACATAAAAAATCTAGGCAGAAGCCGAGAAAAAGATGACAAGGCTAATGTGGTCAATGCCTGGGTGGGAGGAGAAAATAGAGGGCAAGTTTTTCTCTTGTTTGTGGAGAACGGAATTTGGGCCAAGTGCTGAAAAGAGAGGCCCACTTTAAGAAGAAACAGAGAGCAAATGGCATTTCCGAGCAGATAAAGCCCCATTGGGAACGCCATGGGGTATGGGAAAGCTGGGATCGTTGGCAGGTCTGGGGCCAGCAGCCCTTTGGCAAGACCTGGCGGCTTTGAGAGACCCCCGCCTGGGAGGTGACAACAGTTTCCAACGCATTCTGGCTCTGACACAATAAAGCACAGAACAAGTTGAGTGTGGATCCTGCTGACGGTGATTCAAGGATAAAGGGGGAAAGAAGTAGACCCTCCACTGCAGCATCCACCTTGGAATCAGAGATAAAAATGCAACAAGGAAAAGAAGAGCTAAGATGACTCTCTTTCCCTGACTGGCACACGGGATGGCCGAAACTCGCGGATGTGAAGTGTCCCTGTCACGGCTGCCTCCGACACAGTCCAGACCCCTCAGGAGCAGAGCTGCACCCACTATTCAAAGGCTCTACGCCTTTTGCACATGTGTGCAGAAACAAGGTTGTGGCCAGCACTTCTCATGGAAAATAGTAGTCTGAATACAAAGAAAAAGCAGACTATTTCACTCTATAAAATTGTCTATATGAAATCAGAAATGAAACTGCAAGAGAAGCAAGAAAATCTTGAGCAGAAACTTTCCCTGGGCATAAAAATGAGTTGAACTGAGCAAAATCATAAATGCAAACCATCCACATCACCTTTGCCACAGGGGAAGACTCCCCAGAATAGAATTTAATGCCAAATTAAATGTTCCATCTACCTCTTCCAGCAACATAACTGTAAAGGGGAAAAACAAATCAAGGTTGCTGCTACTCTTGCTGAAGGATATTGGCCGATGGAACATAAATGAGTAGGTAGTAACCAGTTAATCGGGGTGCCGGAGGCCTGGGGCCCAGAAGGGTCAGAGAGAATAAAGGGTACTTATCACAAGGGGCAGGGATAGAGGGCATTCCTGTCCCTCTATCCCTTAGAGGGACAGGAATCAGTCAAATTTATTTTCCTCTGGCACCTCAAATGACATTTCCCTTTTCCAGGTAGAGGTTTGGAACTCCCCCGACTTTATCTGATATGACTGAAGACCATTGATTATGCTGGGACACTTGGAAAGGGGGAGACTTGGGAAGCATTTCTATAGCAGGGACTTGGTATAAGACAAAAATAGTGTTACCTGCTTGCTTCAGCAACAATGTCATCACAATAGTAAGGAGAAATGTGATACATAAAAATCATCCTGGGCTTGAATTCAGATCTGAGTTCAAATCCAGCTCCTGCCTTTCCCAGTTCCACAGCCCAGGCATCTCAGTCCTGGGACCACTCCGACCTCCATGTTCTTGCTGTTTGCCCAGGGTTGGACTGGGACCAGTGCTTTTGAAAATTCCTTTGTGCTCTATTGTTTGACGTGAGGACACTTGCAGAGGGTAGAGGAAGGAATGGCTCTAAATGGAACGCCACTGAAAACCAACATGAGTAAGGTCCACCAGGAGGTCAGTAATCACTTTTTCTTCTGTGGCTCTTGTTTGCAGTTCCATTGTGAAGAAATATCAGCTTTACTTTTAGTTCACAATTAAAAAAATAAAAACAAAAAACCCCAACCATTTACCTCTAGTGAAAATACATACCGTTGCCTCATTTTGTAACTGCATTTCTAGAAATCACATACTAAAGTGTGTTGGTATGAACCAAATAGAATTTTCCCTGTAGGAAGATTACCATAATTGGGAATCATGTTCCACATTGAGAAATTGGCATCAAATAAATCATAGACATCACTAACAACATGATGTAAGGGGAGAAACATACCTATAAACTTCTATAATCATTTAAAATAGTAAAATTGTGCTCTAACTCACATAAAACAGGCATAAGTGTATTGTACATGTCGATTATACGAGAGACCCCAATGTGCTATAAAGTGTACATAGAACTCATAAAACTCTAACATTAGTGTACCATAAATTCAAACTAAAACCGGCGTACTAGCAATAATCAATTTAATTAAACATTAAATGAACAGTAATTTGGTTTTCTGTTTTAGAATTTAGAAGGACTTCTTGAGGCTGATTTGGCTACCTTGTATCCCTTATAAACAACAAAAGTCAGCTTGTGTAGATGGATGTGTTCTTTCTCCTTTTGATAATTTCTTATAACAAGTAGGGGGATTGGGGGTATTTCAAAAACTGGAGCCATATCAAAGTAAGAGAGTAGATGCCGATATACATTTGGTAATATAATGTGTTTTTGAAGATAATTATAGCATTTTTTCCACAGATCAACATCATTTAAGTAAAAGCTTATCTAACATAACTCCCCTTCACCCTTTCTTGTCTCCCTCCTTGGTTCAAAAGTTGGACTTTGTATTGGACCAAATAAAGGCCAACCAATAAGAGAACAGTAAGTGCTAATTAAATCACTCCACATGACACATTGTTGACAGCTATTAAAGACCTTCAAGCCTTATCAGAAAGCTGGAACACAATTACAAGTCATTAGAATGGCCTTTAAAAAGAATTTTAAAACATTTCTTTCAGACATAAGCCAGTCATGGGAATATGTATTGACAGTTCACCATTTTTTGTGGAAACCAAAATAAATAATTTCTTATATTTTCATATACTTTACAGTTTAAAACTGTTATGTAATTTGATTATCATAGCTATCCTGCTAGGCAGATACGTCAGGCACTACGATTTCTTACGTTGAAACTGAAGACATAAAATCTTAGATAGCTTAAGGGATTTCTTTGGAGTTGCAAGGTGAGAGAAACGTATTAAGTGCTGGGGCATTATTCTAGAAGCATGGCGCAGTGGCATCCGTGAGTATTTTATGAATATGAGTCCATGAATCATAAAATAATAATAATGATGAAAAGTAACTTAGAGATCTCACTCCCGGTGGGAGCCCCCTTCATAATACTCAGTTAATTCAAAATTACCCCATGGGCCCTGGCTGTCCATTTTCCATTATTCCTAAGCAGGGTTAATTATCACTCAAGGAAGAACACTCCATTTTTTGACAAACTGTTTTAATTGTTAGAAAAATCTTCCTTCATTTATCTAATTGTACTTTCTAGATTCTCAAAGGATACACCTAATCCTTCTTCCATACAATATTTCAAATATTTGAAGATAGTTTTCATAATTCCCACTGATAAGCCATGGCTTCTAGACTTTCTGTCCTCCTGTGGGCTATTCTTTGATTTATCTATGCCACTTTTAAAACCAGGTGCCCAGAAATGACCATAAAACTTCAAGAGAGCACTGACAAGTACATAGTGAACAAAAATTTCTATTAATATAGCCTTCTGTGTTCTGGACTAAAGTTTCTATTAATATAGCATAAGATATCAGCAATTTTTGGCAGACATATCACAGTGTTGGCTCTTGCATCGAACTAAAATCTCTATTTTTTCCTACATAATCTGCTATTGAGCCAGTTCTCTCCTATCATAATCATATTAGGTTGTGACATTTGCAAATATAAGAGTCATATCTCTATGTGTTCAGTTTTTCTCAACAGGAGTGCTAATGAAATTTTGGACATGAAAATTCTTTGTTGTATGGGACTTTCCAACATACTGCAGGATAAAATTAAATACTAGTGACAACATTTGATTGTCATTTTGACAATCAAAAATAACCCTATACAGCTCCAAAGCACCCTTAGAAAAGAGATTCCACTGCAGTTGGGAATCTTTATCAAATTATCTACTGAAATGTTGCAGTTGAAAAACGGAGCACTCTGCTTTGAGTACAGACTCCCTTCAAGGTGGACATCTACTTATGGTAAACATTCTAGGGATTTTCATCCACCTAAATGTACAATAGTAGACCCACGTTTCATCTTCTTATTCATAAAGAAAAGAGGGAAATATTTTAAAATCACACATTCAGAATAATAGTAGAGAAACTGAACATAGGCAAAATATGGCAATAGTTGATTAAAGCTGTGGGAGCTAATCTCCAAGGTTGTCTTCCCAATAAGCCATGACATCTGCTACTCATGACCTTGTGGTCTCCCCTCCTTGGATATCAGCTGGCTCTGTGACTTGCTTGAACTAACAAAATGCCATGTAAGTCCTGCTTCCAAGGCTAGGCCAAGAAAAGCCTTGAAGTTTCTGCCTTGCTTTCTTGAAACACTCCCTTTGGGAGCCCTTAACAACCATACAAGAAGGCTGACTACCCCTGAATTACTATTCTGGAGACGCCCCACAGGGATACTCCCAGATGAGCCCAATCTTTTAAACTTGGTTCATGAGGTGCCAGTCATGAGTGAAACCATCTTTAACTTTCCAGACAAGCTTACCCACTAGCCAAATACCATCAAGCGACTTCACTTAATGCCACACATAACAGAATTACTAAGAGAAGACTTCCCATATTCCTGACCCACAAAATTGTGAGATACAATAAAATTTGACAGAAAGGCTTGTGTTCCTTCCTGCCTAAAATTCATATTCTGCAGTAAACTCTGCATTCATTTATTCACTCATTCATCACACATTTATTAAACTCCTATTGTGTTCCAGCACTTTGACATTGGGAATAAAATAGGTGATAAATAATCCACTATCTCTGCACTCAGGAACATCATAGCAGAGTGTAGGAGACTCATAAACCAATAATTATAATAAAATTTAAAGTAGCACAATGGAGGTGAATTGGAGTACTATTATGGGAGCACATAGAAAGACCTAATGTTGGGGAAAAAGAATGTCAGGGGAGGTCTTTGGTGGTGAAGAGTTATATAAGGCAAGACAGAGCTATTTGGGAAAAATAAAGAGGCTAGAAAGGATTTTTCTGGAAGAAGGAACAGTATGTGATGACAAAGAGTTTCAAAAGACACATTCATTGTAAGTTTAGTGTAGCTCAAGTCCAGAGTGCAAGGAAGTAGTTAATAGTGATGATGGAGCTTGATGCCGTGCAGGAGGAAATGAAGCTGGGGAAGTTGGCAAGAGCTTTGAAAGTTGCTAAATGCCATGTAAGGTAAGCAGTCTCCAAGATGGACCCACAATGATCCCTACATGCTGACCCTCAGACATTTGTGCGGTCCCCTCCTGCATTCTGTCAAGGTTGGTCTGTATGACCAATAGCACATGGCAGAAGTGATGGCAGGTCATGTCCATGATTAGGTTATAAAAGACTGAGATTCCCATCTTGAGCTCGCTCTCTCTCTCTTTCTCCTCCGCCACCTCTTTCTCTCTCCTCTCTTCCTTCTCGTTCTCTCTCTCTCTCTCTCTCTGTCACTGACTTTGGGGGAAGTGTGTCCCAATGGAGAAACCCATGTAGTAAGAAATGGAAGATTCCTGCTAATACTAATGTGGCTGAGCCTGAAAGTAGATCCCACAGCCAGTTAAGCCCTCAGAGACTGCAGCACAGCCCAACAGCTTGAGTACAGACTAGAGACCCTGAGACAGATCACCCACTCAAGCCACTCCCAGATTCTTGATGCTGAGAAACCATTCTCAGCATTCTTGTGCTTTAAGCTGCTAGGTTTTGGTGCTATTAGCTTATTAGCAATAGATAAATAATAGACCATGCTGAAATTTGAATATTATCCTGAAATTGATAGAAAGCCACTATAGGATTTTAAATGGGTGGACTCCAATTTGCACATTGGAAAGGTCATCAGGGCACCAGAGTGGAAGGTAAAGTGAAAGAAAGAAAAGGATACTATAGTAATCCAGCCCTGAGCAGATGAAGAACTGCACTGATATGATTGAAAAAGAAAGGAGAAAGAGGAAAATTTGAGCTATATTAATCAGCCCCAGTTTCCAGCTTAAACAACTGGTTAAGCAGAGCACGCCATTGATTCAGAGAATACAAGAAGGAAACAAGATTTGGAATTTGCAACAAAGATAATGCAGATTTGCACATGTTAAGATGAAAAAACCTATGAGACATCTAAGAGGAGGCATAAAGCTACTGTAGGAACATGGGCCTGGGGCTCAGAGCTGGGTCATAAGAGTCCTTAGCAAGTCACTGGCAATCGAAGTCATGGATTAGGATTAGTGTCCTCAGGAGGACATGAGGAGTAGGAACAGCAGGAAACCATCAGAACCAAAGCCTGTCTACTAGGTGGTCTTCCTTTCTTCAAAATCCTGAACTAGACATATTGGGGAATTAGCCCCTTCTCTGCAGCCAGGGATTACAATGATTGTACTGTCAGATGAGAAAATCACTCTTTACCCCTCAATATGTGAGGACGAATGAAATTCTTTAAGTATTCTATAATCATTTTCATTTTGCTTATTATTTTGCTTAAGTCAAAGATTATTCCTGCAAGTTTGGACACTCTTTGCAGAAATCCAAGGCTGCTGTTAAACATGTAGGTGAATTTCTCTACCAAGTCCCTAAGGAAATAGAGAACCATGCTACTATGGAAGAGCCTGATCATAGACAACTTCCCAGGGGAAAAAATGCCCTAAAAGTAACAAAACAGATGGAAGAGAAAGATGTAAGATATCTGTATTAGTCATGATTCCCCAGAGAAACAGAACCAATAGAATGTGTTATATAAATCAAGAAATATTTATTTCAAGGAATTGGTTTGTGCAATTATGGAGGCTGGGCAGTCCAAAATCTGTAGGGTAGACCAGCAACCTGGAGATGCACAGAGGAGCCGATGTTCCAGCTCAAGTTCAAAGGCTGTCTGCTTGCAGAATTCCCTCTTGCTCAGGCAAGTCAGCTTCTGATCCTTGCAGGCCTTCACATGATTGGATGAGATTCACCCATGTTATGGAGGTAAACTACTTTACTCAATGTCCACTGATTTTAGGTGTTAGTCTCATTCAAAAACACCCTCACAAAAACATCGAAATAATGTTTGACCACATATCTGGGTACTGTGACCCAGAGAAGTTTATACATAAAATTAACCATCACAATATCTTTGATCCTCCATCCTCTGAAGGATCTATAGACAATAGATCATTGAATTCTTTGCAGCCAACACAGCACTCTATACTATACATGGTGTGGAGTATATGTGTATATGTGCACACAGTAGGTGGTCAGTCAAGGGGTTCGTGATGATATTTATAGTCTCTGACTTGTATAATACAGCCAATTTGACTAAGATGACAAAAAAGTCACAGAGGGGACTTTTTATCCCCTACTGTGTTTGTCAAGAGGGTTAATAAAAAGCCCTTGCTAACAATTATGTGCTTTTCTGATGATGTTCCTTGTCCTGTGGTTTTCACCAGAGCAGACGATGAGTGAGGACAGTGGCTGTCGTAGCTGTTCCTTTTCCCCATCCCTAACGAACCATCCGTGGGAGAGGGATGACCAAGTCTCCTGACTGCTGTCAAAAGTGAAAATAAAATGTCCTGGAAAGAGATGAATTTGTAGGCGTCTGGAAAGATATCTGTCATTTTTTGTGTGTTTGTTTTGCTTTCCCTTCAGAAGAGAGTGAG